AGATGACCTAAATGCCTTCCACTAGGGCCTCTCTGATAGGTTTCACTTCCCAACAGGGCCATGGGTGAACCAAACCTGTGACATAATGTGCCTCAGGGATACGTGAAGTCCAAGGTGTAACACAGGGTAAGGCAAACTGTTAAGTGCAGAAGGTTGCCCACAGTAGGGGGAGGCCTGAGCCTCAGAAGTCTGTGTAACTGAAGATGATAAAAATATGAGATAAGCAGTTTGAATCCAAAAACTTTAGCTTGAAAAAGAAAAATCTCAACAAATCATGATGGGACAACTAATAGCCACATGCCAAAGAGTGAAATAGGAAGCCTACCTCACACACGCCCAAGGGATGGTGACACTGTCAGGAAAGCCCCAGTGACTGCCCCAGGAAACACAACAGGTGCAGATGAGGCTGGGGCCCTCTGCGAAAGCAGGGGCAGACCCTAGAGCTCTCCTGTCTCAGAGGCTAAGACAGCACGTGGCTCGAAGGTCAAAGCAGCCACAGAGAAGAGAAAGCTTGAGAGATGAGGAAAACGCAAATAGAGTGGAGGCAGCTGCACGCAGGATCGGTGAAAGTTTCAGGAAAGAAATCTTGGGCAGAAAGCACATATATGCACAGGACAGCTTGGACGGCTGTCCTGGTGATCTGTGCTGCCTGTGGAAAGGAGCACTTAATGCTTAAATTCTTTCTTTCCTTTTTAATCTTTTTAAATTTTTTTACCAACTTTGCATGCTTATATCTGATAATCTGAACAATTAATTTGAAAACACAACAACATGCAATATAACATTCATTGTTGAATTCCTGTTGTTTTGCTTAGTGAAATTCTGCATCATTTCTAATTTTTATTTTATTTTGTTATGCATTTGGTATAGGATCTGACAACGGAGCTCACACTCGTAGTGATTCTCCTGTTTTCAGCCTCCCCAGCACTGGGATTACAGGCGTGCGCCACTGCGCCTGGACTCAGTGGCCAGCTCAGTTCGCTGGCTCAGTTTGCTGGAGGTGCGGCCAGCACAGCATGTGGAACCTGGGATCGAACCCCAGCCTCTGCGCTTGCCTAAGCAGGCACTGAGTCATCTGGGCTATCTCACCGGCCCTTAATCTCTTTTAAACTAACTGATCCAGCGGGAAATGAGCGTGGCACAGCAGTGTGCAAGCTCCGAAAGCAGGCTCGACTCCGGGTGTCTGATGATGCAGGAAAGGAAAGACACAATTCGATGACTTGTGTGCAAAGCTCACCCCCCAACTACAGACCCAAACGGGGCTAGATTAACTGAGCAAACCAAGAAAGCATTTACTGAGCACCTACAGTGTGCTAGTGCCTTAAACAATAATGACGCACACAAAGTTCCCATGGCTGCGTCGTGCCCAGAACCCAGATGCACTGGCCTGCATCTCACTGGCGAATGGCCACGAGGATGACAGAAAGCCTTGCCCCCTCGGTCCCTTAGAGCTGAGCCCGTGCACGCCATTCCAGCTTTAGTAGTCTAGTGACCTCCTGAGGACCGTGTGCAGCTTTCACGGTGTTCTTGATCATCAGACCAGCATTCCCTCTGTTTCCACGGAAGCAGCATGTGTAGCTACACCTTTGTGGACCGCAGCATTCAGAAGAGAAATGACTGCTGCTCTGTGGACAGGTGGGATGGGCAAAGCGAAGGCCCGAGCCTTGGAGGTCAGGCAGCTCGCGTCGTGCAACAACCCCACAGCCAACTGGCATCAGCGGTTACGTAAGGCAGCTCCCGCGTGATCTGCCCACAACACGCAGATTTTATCTTTGCAGGAAACGAAACTTGTTAGAGCTACGCTTCTGTGCTTCACAGGAAGCAGCTGCCATGAACCTTAGCTTGAGAAGGAACAATTTGCGTCACAAAGCACCACAAAACTTTATTCAAACCTAGTCAATGAGACAGGACAAAATGTTTCACTGAAGTAAACTTGAATTTGCTACTTGATGGAATAATAAGCTAAAGTCTACCCGGGATGTAGTATTCAGAAACCCTTTAATTTGTCAATATAAAACTGGAAGATTCTTAACTTTTTTTCTTCCATGGTTTCATTTAAAAATTTTATAATCAGGAAAGCTCTGAGAAAGACAAATTCCAAAAGGGCTATCACTGGCCTGGGATGAAGGAGTGGGTTTAAGCTGAAGCGTGTCTTGCGCACACAGCTTACAATTCTAAGCACTTTTCAGAACTAACAGCTTCCAGCTGTACCCAAGGAAACTTTAAAACTCCTGACAGTGCATTCCCGAAGAGGCTGACACTAACACTAATCTGCACCTAGCTTGGGCAGACTTTTTAAAATCCCACTTCACTTGTGTGTAGCATTTAAGAGCTATTCTAAATTGCTTCTGTCGACTCCAAGACACAATATAATAATAATAGTAATAATAATAATAAAATTCCATAAAAGCAGTGCAGTGCTGAGAGACAAGACATGTGAGGTGAAAGGGCCCAGTAAGGAGAGCTCCAGGAGCTGCAGCTGGCCGGTCCCCAGCCTCTC